TTTTACACAATGATGCATTTTAGGAGGCACGCCTCTACAGGGCATGTGTGAAACAATGGGTGTCATAACTGCCCCGTGCAGTTTATTAATCTTCCTCTGCCCTCTAATCCATCTGTTTTCTCCTCTTACGAACGCTGGTCGTAAACGGGAGAACATCTTGCTCAGTGGCTCTGGGACGGCCATGTCTCTCTTGTACGAGGCAGCCAGCACTAGAAGCACAGAGCAACTTCCTAAGCATGTTTTTAGGTCAATGACAGTAAGATTAAGCTGGGAAAAGGTTAGCTGAGGCGTTGTCAAGCTTGTGGAGCAGGGATTCAGAAGACATTGTTTTCCTATGACTGATGAAGTGTACTTGAATCAGCTAGGAAGAGATAAGTCAAATAATAATCAAGAGTTTTGCTTTTGGTTGCTCTAAGCCAAAATAAAAAAATATTATTATTATTTACTTCTTGAATAACAGTTTTTAATGACAAAGTCGGAAAGATTTCCAAAGCTGTGACCCTACGGCATGTGTTTTCCTCAAAGAATTTAAAAAAGGAATTTCTAATGAAACAAGTCGTGTCGTGGCTACAACTGGGAACTATTTAGTAGGAATGTTGTGAAGTCATACCGTAGTGCTCAGTAAAAAATGATTCTATAAATGTCAGGAAAGGGGAGGAAGCCTCTATTCTTGTTATTCCCCATTGAACAGTCATACTGCAGCAATTATTTAAAATCTTTGATTATCCTCAGAGAGACGAGGCAATCACGGCTGAAAATCAATTTCAGGGACATCAGGAAAAATCAAAAAGCTTGCACAGCGCCAACAGGGCCATGGGCTGGTGCGAGAGAAGAGAAGGGATTTTTTTTTTCTCATCATCGTTTCGGTTTTCCCTTTGCTAAGAGCAATCAGCCAGCCACACCAGAGAGCTTGCTGCAAGTCAGAGCCAGATCCTGTTCAGAGCTGCTCGTGATGTTGAGCCAGGTAGCATCCAATTAGTGCTCAGTGTAACTTAATGCAAAGTTCTGGCACTCAGCTCACCGAATCCAACTAGTTGTCATAGAATTTCCACGCTTCTGCTGTCAAATTCACAAACATTTGCTGATTTGCTTTGCCTCCTTAAAGCACCATGAAGTTAAAATGCGACATTTTCCCATCAATGCTGCGCCATGTATGGCCATTTTCTGCTAAAACAGATTGGCCTGGTTACTGATGAGACAGCAGGAATGTCAGCGACGGATGCTTGATGCTTGTTGACAACTGTTTTGCTTTAGAACCGCATTTACTCCACGCGTAGAGCAATTTGTAATGGCACGGGTTCCAAAGAGCTGTAATGGATGTGAATCCAATGAAAAAAGTCATCATTCGCGATCTTTTTAGTAAACAAAGCTGGATGTAAAATTCCGCCCTTTCTTTATGTTCAATCAAGGCGTTGCCTTGTCAAATTCAATCAGCGTCTGGAGTTGTCCAGATGCTGGACTTGTCTCACACAGCTGAGAGAAGATTATGTCTGATAATGACATATGTAAAGACACAGCTCTTCTACACACTCTTCTACTCTCTTCTACATATGACTGATATCAACATTGAATGATATGTTATCCTTCCTCATTTCATGTAGTTCAACCTCCTCCATCTTTTTTTTCACAAACCTTTTGCTTTCCTTTTCCTTTTGCCTGTGCACTGCTGCTAGGAGCGTCTCAACAGATTGTGGTTTTTGGCAGAATGCACACAATTGAGTTTTGGAAGTGGCATGGAACGGGACACGGGAGTCTGAGGTGGCTTCCTCCCCCTGCCGTCCTCTCTGTCAAGGCTCCGTGGGCCAGTTGCCCAATCTTTCATAACAGCATTAGCAGAGACTAGGCAGCAGCACAGTGGAAAATCCACTCCACCATGTTTCCTCATCAGCGATGTCTTCTCTCTGACCTCCAACTCGGTTTCGGTGGCTCACATGAATATAGAAGATGAATATGGGCCAACTTCTGAGGTTATGCCAAATTCAACAGCAGGCCGGCCTGTCAACCATGAAATCGCCTTTACAAAGGGAGTTTGGACAAATTTGGATTTCTTGAAGACACTTTCATCCATGGGAAATTTCCTGACCTTTATTTTATGTCCTAACCCATAAAGATCAGGTAAAATGCTATCATAACAACCAGTATAAAGGAAAATGGTGGGCTGTTATCCTCCATAATTCTTCTCCAGACATTTATCATCATTCACCATCTTTTCATTCTACCCAGCAGTCATCACAGGAAACCCCCGCAGTTGTGTAATGTGGAGCTTTCCTCTATGCCCTTTCTTGGTATACCTCCTGTGACGTATATGGCTCAGCACACAAACACTCACACACTTACACAAACGCTAACACGCACACACACACACACACACACACAAACATACTGTGCTGTTTGACCTCTGAGGTTCAGTAAGAGCATTAAATGCCAATTAGGGTTGGGACGGGCCGAGCTGAGTCTCAGGTTGTTGGAGGGCCCTGAGGCCTGCGGGAAGGAACTTATTGGTCCCTGGGTGTAAGTGTGCGTAAGTGTGCGTAGGTGTGCGTGTGCGTTCATAGAGTATAAGTTTGTGTGTGGGAACGTTTGGGCAGGCTGACATCAATAGCATAGACAATCCCCCTATGGGAAGGCTACTTCTTTCTACACATGTGCAAAAAAACACATCTGGATATTTTGACCAATCTTTGAGTCCCCTTTTGTTCATCTCTCTGAGAAGCCTGTTTTTTGGCTGAATGTTTCTATTAATCATCATCTAGGATTTGAGCAGGTTCTTTTCTGCTTCAAATCACATTTTCTCAAATTTCTTTTAGAGGTCTTGAAAAATACCCTAGTGCCTGCAAGAAGATTTCAATAACTATAAAATAGTATAATAAAATGTCAGATGCAGGTTATTTGTCTCAGTTTAATGTTCAAAATAAAACAGCAATACAGGAGAAAGAATATTAGCAAATGCTCTGAAGGCAACCCTCGGAGAAATATCCGTACTGCAGTGCATCTTGAGACGTGTGTGATGATCTGCAGTGGTTATCTGGCGGTTTCAGAGTCATGCCCTTTACTGTCCCTCTGTTATTTACCCACCAGACACAAGCAGCTTGATAAATGTTTTGTCTGACCTTCTAAATTTGTTTTCCTTCCTTTTAACTGTGATTTTATTTCCCTTGGACAAGCCACACGGCGTGTTTGTGTGTGTCTGAGAGCGTGTGTGTGAGTGCATGTGTGTCTGCTTATATGTCTATTTGTAAAGAAAATAAAAGGTCTATATACATTCTCTCCTTGTTGCAAATTACATCCCTGAGTTCATCATTTCAACCAACAAACCATTGAACAAGCCAAATAATTGTAGTAATTGGAACAGCCACCGGCCGTCTTCAGTGTGTGTCTGCTTCAGTGTGGAAAGAGTTAAAGTCACCACAGGCCAAAGTAGAGTCAACATCGGCCACGGCTCGGCTGGCCTATCCTGCCAGATCAATATCTGCAAATAATAAATTAGCTCCCCAGAGGGGACGCACTAAACCTTCAGCAACACTGGCCTGGAAAAGTCCACAATTGGTGTGTGCGAGACTCAATAAGCCAGGTGAATGACTGTGCAGGGGCACATCTTTAGCACTCCATAATAGAAAATTAATGGGGCTCAAATCAGTGCTGAGGGCACCCTGAGGGTTACCTAATAGGCCTAGTTAGAACTGTCATCCCTCCACAGAGTCACCTAAAATATCACATGCAAACACAGTGAGCCAAGAAGAGAAGGAGCAATGAGCAAAGGATGTATGTGAGCGTACAGGTAACATAATAGTTACCGTTGGAATGGATTTATTTGGTGAGAATATTACAGTGTTAAAGTGTTCTTTGGAATTTGAGGGAACAGAAAGTGAGGATAGCAGAACAATCAAATAAAAAAAAGAATCAAATAAAAATTTCAGTGTATAAATTAAACTAACCCTATAACTCTGCCCTTCATTGTATAAGATTGCAAACTCAATGGCAGAAAACACAAAGCATGACAATTCTCATACCTCCTCTTTCAAGCCAGTTTGAAATAATCTTTAGTTTCTTTTGGAAAAAGACAAGACGTATTTTTTTTAAGAATAAAAACAAGACTGCATACTGCAAACTCAACACGTTATAATCTATGTCTGAATGAGTTTTCTTGTTTTCTTAAATGTGACTAAATAGTATTTTTAATTCAGTTTATTTAGCGTTTTTAAGATGTAATATCTAACTGGTCACTGATCTCGACCAATTTATTGTTTAATTTCACAAAATGAAACAGTGAAAGAAAATAGTTAGTCGTATAATATATTCTCCATGATCTTAAATATATTAGGCTTATCGTTAATCTTTAAAACAATCCCTAAAGAAAAGCCTAAAGTGAGAACGCATCTACAGTATATTCATGCAGCTAAATAAAAAAAATAAAAATAAAATGGGTGAAAGATCATCTCGAGTTTTACGAGGAAAAAAAGTACATATTTGAAGTTAATGATCAAGTACATGCAAAAGTATGCAAGTATATCATGTTGACTGTGTTCAAGTATAAGCTTGGCCAAACTGCGGGGCTGTTTAAAAACAGATCTATATGCCCAACAGGCTGGTAATGAGCCTTTAAAATCTAATTATTTATTCCGGCTGGCTTATTCCCCTTCTCCACAAAACACAACTATTGGATTCAATAAACATACTTTATATTGATCTTTGGCCGCCCGGCAGCACATGCACCTCTCTTAACCCTTCTCAACAGGATTTATTACAACTTTGCATGCTAAACAGAGCACACACACACACACGCCTGTGCGCAGACACATGCTAAAGCGTAAATACCGAACGACTTCACATCAATGTAACGCACACATGCACACAACCTTTCGATCTCTCTCCTGACCCTAATTTGCCTATTTAGCAATATTATGGGGGTTGAGATGTGTTGGGAGGGGTTTCCCTCCTCATCTCCCCCCCCCCTTTTCTGGACTTCAGCAAACTCTGTGTTTTCTTGACACTGAACTTACCCACACGCCGCCACGCTGCCGTCCTTCAGCCCAAACAGGGTGTGTCGCTCTCCGCAGGGTACTTGAGATATTTTCAGAGATGATGGAAGATTCTGCAACAAACGTGGTGCCGGCTGGAAGAAAAAAAAAAAAAAAAGTTTGCGGTGAGGTGAAGAAACCCACTGCATCTGGGAGTAGCTGTGTAGTTTAGTTGGTGCACTCCATCAGCCTGGCGAACATCCAGTAGATCCTCTCAGTGTAGATGAAGACAGGACGACGTGAAGAACAGAGGGAACAAGAAAGAAGCAGCATCCTCCTTTATGGCGCGGAGCTGTGTAGATGTGATGTTTTAAGTCCCTGTCTGTCTGTCTTGTGTGTGTTCATGCCAGTGCCACAAAGGAAAAAATGAAACAGCCCACGAGGAGAAACGAAAACCTGGTTCCTCATCATGCGCTTGTTAGCTTGTCCAATCTATGGCAATCAGCACAGTCCCAGGGGTTGAAAGACACGAGATCCCAGAGAAGGGGAAGCCGAGGCTGAGGAAAAGATCAATACTGCACTGTGAAACAAGACGTGTGGGCTATTTACTCTCCATTGATCTGATGATGCTGGAGAAACACCTCACTCGGCTATTAAATTGAGGCTATAAGTCTACTATGGAGGGCTTTTTTTATTCCCCTCTCTTTTTCTTTCGCTCAGTCTTTACCCTAAGGTCAAGGAAAAGCTAAAAAAAAATCCACAAACACACAAAAATGGATTGCCTGGCCCAGGGAAAGTAATTAATCTACATTATAATGCCATGGGAGCAGACACCGACTACCCATCTTGAGTGAAGTTTTGCTCAGAGCGACACGAGACTCATGGCAGCATGGGATGGACTACTAGAGGACACAGTGATGGATACAAATGGTCTGCTAGCAGGGCCCAGCTGAGCTTCTGGAGCTTCCTACAGCTGAGGATTTCCACCTGCATGGCACAGTGAAGAGTAAGAAAACACCGAGCAGAGAGAAACAGAACAGTAAGTATGATACACGGTCAACATACATATGATGATATTATACTTATGTGCATTACAATACAAACAATTAACAAGCTCAAAGAGGAAAGAGGTGGGTCGACAAGGTAGGGGGGTAGTGTTGTTGCTCGCGCTACTGTTGTTTGTTATTCCAAGCGGTGTGTGTGATCATTTAGGCGTAGGGTGTAGTGGCATTTCTTCATCAGGAGCACAGGAGTCTCATTCGGGACGGCTCGAGGTGTAAACAATGATGCCGTCCTCCTCAGTTGCTGCTGTAACGTTGGCAAGTTCAGTCTGCTAAGTGAGCGTTGTAGCTTAGTAGAAAGAATGAAAGTTCATAAATAAAACTGCTCACAGAAAGCTGTGTGGATTATTTTGACAGAACGGGTCATTCTGTCAGTTAAGAAGAAAAAAGTATTTTTAAGGAGGGGGGGGCTGCCCTCCTCAAATCCTTAATAATTAGAGCGGTCGTGTGATGTCGAGTGAACAACATCCGTGTTACAAGGCCTAGATGTGTGTTTCAGATAAACAATGTCTGATCCCAAAAAATAAATAAAAAAAGGTGAATTCAGACTTCTCTGCTGTCTATATGCTCTGTAGATAAAATGAACCCTTATTAAGATACCTGTTAATTTAATGCAATTTTTGAGGTAAAAAAAAAACTTGCACATTGATTCATTCCCTTTGGTTTCACAAAACGTTTGTCAAAGCTGCTGCCACCCAGATATTTTCCATGGTGTGAAACTCTGTCCCTCCATGTCTGTCTTTGCCTTTCTCCCACTCCTCAGAGGTGTAGCCTTATTGACTGAGAGGCTGTATTACAACAAGCCGTCTCTAATGACTCCCTGAAGACCTCGCTGTCCCCATTGCCCGCCCTCCATCCCTCTCTCTCTCTCTCGGTCTCACTCTCTGTGTTTCTCCAAATCGGCCTGCTCTTCAGGCTCCAGTTCAGCAGCTAATTAACCCCCTCTAATAGCGTAGATTACATTAGCTTTGAGCGGCTCGCACCCTCCACCGGACTCGCACTGCCGCACAATGAACCCGGCCTGGCTTTACAAATCGTCCCCTTTTACCAGAGCACAATTATGAATTCAAACAACTTCTTACCCACACGCACTTATCCAGGGACAGAAGGCCTTCTCTCCAGCCGCCCCACTCCTCCCCTGCCACCCACCGCACAGGCCTTTTACGCTGGGAGGAATGAGAGAACTGAAGAGAGGAGACCACACAAGAATACGGCCATAGAGGGGAGAGGGGATATCGGGAGGGGGGGGGTGAATCAGAGAGGTCACTATAGGTGTTTCATTGGGTGAGGCTACAGAACCCCAGTGATAACCCTCCATCTTAACATTCCTATTCAGAGCTGAATGGAAACTTAATTACTGCGGGTGGATTGAGCGAGAGGAGGGAATACCGGGACCAAATAGGGGTTTATGGTTTAAGTGGTCAAAGAGAGGGAATTAGACGCAAGAGTGAATGACTTAAGCCAGTGGAAGAGGTTTTCTACACATTGACAAAATGGGCTGGCAACTCGAAAGCTTAATGAAAACTGAAGAAAAATGGTTTATTTTTATTTTTTTAAAGCTGCAGATGTCTTAAACATCTTTATAAGTAAACCCGATCAACCAGCCAACACCTTATCTACAGAAACACTTCTGTATGTGGGATGGGACACTATTATACACCCAATTTTATTAACCCCTACTTGTTTACAGTTAACGCTTTCACAGTATGCTCTGGGGATTTTTGAATCATAGTAAGTGTCTAGAGCAAACTACAGATCTAGTTAGAATGTCTAAATACTCTCATTGACAAATGTATTATCAATCCTTAATGAATATGTCAGAGAGCATCAGGACACGTCCAGTTTGACATAAGACAATAAATCATAACAGCCACAATGATTTAAATCTATTTAATTCAATTTCAAAATGCCACTGTTGGAATTCATAATGTAATGTTTAATCATTGCACCAATTTCGTCACTACTACAAGACATCATAATTATCAATATTAATTAAATATTGAACACTTTTTATAAATATATACTTTTTATACTTTTATATAACGCTTTTTATAAACTAGACTGCATAAAGAAAAGCAGTGGTTCATGTGTGTAATCCGAGATTTCTTCCACGTTGTCTTCCTGCTCTGACATATCCTGCAAATCAACCTCATCTGGGACGAACCGACCCAGCGCCTGTTGCACACTAATTCTTGCTGCCATGATGTCGGCCACTGAAATACCAGCTGAGTTCCTTTATAATGACATGAACCCCCCCCAGCCACCTCCCCAAGCTCAAATTATTCAAATGTGTTCATTTGTAGATTATATTATTACCATGCAGGTGCTTGTGCTTGCAGGTGCAGAACCTTTGACAAGGCGCCCTCTGACCTCTGCATGGCATCTGTTTCCTTTGTGCACCATGTATGATCACTCCTATGCTGTTTTACAATTTCACTGTTTCCAGATTCCTCCGCGGCCCTTCAGAGACCAGCAGGTGTCTGTCTCTGTGGGAACCTGGGCAAAAGGGACAGCGTTGAGGTCCCCCTTGAGCGGTGTCTGCACTGCCCCATAAGAAAAACACACAAACATGGCCTGTAAAACTGTACAACAATCATACACCCACACGAGTAGGTCTAAAATCCGTCGAAACAAATACACGTCAAATATGAGCAGAAACGGCCTCGGCGTACAAACCTTTGTAGGACCTGTACAAAAGTATTAGTATTTTTTTTTAAAGAACACTAAATGTTTAGTGTATTTTTCCTGCAGTCAGATGTCAAAATGGGTCAAAATTGAGCCGAGCAGCATGTGAGGTTCAACAATGTAAGAAGATGCTGTGGTTGGTTGGGTTCATTTGATGCGATAGAGCGGAGCTGTTTAAAAGCTGTTATTAAACTGCCGGAGTCCAACCACACTGTGAAACCAAGAAGGAGAAGAAAGGAAGCTGATCATTGAGAGAAATTGCATTTTTTGAATAGGACTTTCCCCCCCCCCACTTTCTTACAGCACTTACACCACTTAGTGGTGTTTTATCAATGATAATGAGATGAGATATAGTCCTGGTGAAAAAAAAGCGCAAAAGAAATAAATAAAATATGGAATAAATGGATGTAATCTGCTCCGTCTAAATGTAAATTGGTACATTTGTAGTGAGAGGACATTCTCATGTTTCTTTGTCCGAACAAGTAATTTTCCCTACGTCTCTTCTGTAAGGCTTGCCATAGCAGCATTTTCTGCAGCACAGAGCACTCTCCTTTCTATTTCAATAGGACAGCTCATTTGCTAGACTCCTAGCCCAAACTGCTGACTGGGTCTTTCAAGGCTGTGTACTTGGTGTGCCTGTGGACTAGAGTGCATGTGCACAAGCGTCTGCTAAGAGAATAGAAGGGAAAATGGAGGGAAAGAGAGTGGGATAGAGAACACAGTGTATCATTAAGGCACTCAGAGATCATTAGATATATAAGGGCTCTGCTATGCAAGGTCAGGGCTGCTGTGTTTTTCTAGGTCGGCAGAGGAGCAGTAAAACCAGTCTAATCAGCCGCTTCTCTCTGCTCCCCTCACCCCTGTATCGCTCTGTTCCTTCTCCATCTAGAGCCAGTGTGGATTACAGCCCAGTTTATCCATGGCTCTGTATGTATTTACCAACATTATCAAGGCTTATGAGCCAAGGACACGGTAAACCACACAAAAGGCACAAAGGCTTTGAGCTATATATTGGGCTTATTGCAGGGTAAACTTGGCTCCCTGTCTTGCTCCCAGGATGTACAAGGCTGATTTAACAGGTGCAGCAAGCTGACTAGCTATCCAGTATTTTTCATTAAGGCCATCCGTTAAAGTTCAGTCCAGCAACCGGCAGTCTGCCTCAATAAAGTGTCTGTGAATGTCTGCAAAAACGCACCTTTCAGCTATGGTGGAAGGACATGGATTTCATAGAAAGGTAAATACACTTAAAAAAATATTAAAAAGTCCCTCTAATTATTGGAATCTGTCAAGCTGACTGAATGTCTGGCCACATTTGTGATTTTGTTTGCTTACTTTGCTTAATCCTAAATCAGAAAGAACCAGATTCTAATCAAAATGTTTGCCAGCGAATATTGAACCAATAAGGTTTT